CTATTAATGTGGTTCAGTCAAATATATTGTAATGCAATATTTCAGTATATTTCGGTACCTGGGGTAAGGTGGTGGGGGGTCGTGATGCTCCGTCCTGACAAAGGGAGCACCATCTCGACTCTGAGGCAGCCCGGGGTCTGGCAGGCGCTGAAAACGTGACATCATTTCTGCAAAGATGTTCTCGGGCATCTCGCCCTGCCTCTGGAATCTGGCTGACAGTGGTTGATTATGATGGGAAGGGGACCTGGAAGGCTCCGTTCCTCTTTCAGCCACAGGAGAGCCGGCCATCTGCTTGAATTGTTCAGTTATTTCCTTCAGGGTCAGGTTGATATGGAGAGCTGGTCTCTTGAGGAAGGACTCTTTGCAGAGAGGGCACTGGTACATTTTTGTACTGTTTCCGTCCCAGTAGGAGGAAATGCAGGTTTGGCAGAAACTGTGTCCACATGGTGTTGTGACCGGTTTGTTAAATACTTCCAGACAGATAGAGCAGGTGAACTGGTCTTCAGACAGGAAGGCAGCAGGTAGTGACATAGCCATTTAGTTTTAAGCTGCATATAGAGACAGACAGAAGATTAGAAGAATATTAAACTGTGTGCATCAGCAAACTATTGAATAAATGTCCCAGACATGAATTTCAAAAGCCTTACTGTTCAGATCTCATCTAATCCTCGTTGCCACAGGAAAAGACTGAGTTCATACAGAACTGGTCTGGAGCTTCTTCATGGGAACTCCAAACGACACTGAATCAGAACCAGAACTCTTTAATTATCCCTGAAAATATGTGTCCCAGTGAGTGAGAACAGTAACCGACTAAATAATACAATATGTTACAAAGTTACAAAATAGAAACAAAATAGCTCTAAGAGATACTAATAGCAAAGAATATTAAATATATATACATGGATATGTATGTTACTTTGTTATTCTCTCTGCAGAGGATGCAATAGTAAGGCTGGAACTACTGCACTGTGGAGTAGAGATATCCAGAGACAGGAATGATATCTTGTCATTTAGTGATGCATTATGGGTAATCTCATTCTGCTCCTGTGATTGGCCAGTGAGTGATGGAGTGGATGGAGGTATTATCTTGGGCAACATCCACCTCTCCAATACAAGCTGAAGTGATAAACTTTGAATTATTAGATGTTTTTATCGATCCATCCACCTGTTCTTCAAGTGTCTGACACACCCAAGCCACGCCCTCTGACCAGCTTCCTTCATTTCCTGTCGAAGCACCTGTCGGTCACTGCTATGAAAGATGGGAGCCATATTCCATTCAGCAAGTCCTGGCCCAGCTAACTTACTCAAAATTCATGACCGCAGACGAGGAACAGTCACTGTTACACAGTAATATACAGGTGACCCTGAATCCTCCCTTAGTTATGCTGCAATAGATGTAGGCTGCCGGGGGATTCCCATGATGCAGTTTTTCCTTTCCAGTCACCTTTCTCACTCACTATGTGTTAACAGACCTCTCTGCACTGAATCATATCTGTTATTAACCTCTGTCTCTCTTCCACAGCATGTCTTTATCCTGTCTTCCTTCTCTCACCCCAACCAATCACAGCAGATGGCCCC